ATGATAGAAAGACCTGTAAAAATAAATATTTTAACGAATCAATTGTCTCTATTCAATAATAATAATATACATAGATGTGTCAATTTTTTTTATCTTAATTCGTAAATTGATTTTAGTTGTGTTGAAATCCGAGAATTATGTATATATTGTGTAAGGAAAACCAAATTTCAAAAACAATTTAAATGGTTAATCTATATATAAATAATATAAACGATTTTGTTTTTTCTTGAACTAAATAGCACCATTTTTTTAAAAAAAATTATTTTTTTGAAATTGAAATTGAAATTAAAATTAATCCAATATGTGTAAGCTTTAATATTTTTTTTTATATCATACATATATTTTTTTTTATTTTTTTTTATTTTTATTTTTGCTGTTATATTCATAATTTTATGTTTTAATAGCGACTAAATATCATTTTGAAGAAGAAGCTATGAAAAAAGTCTTCAACAAAATTGATACTGATAGTAATAATTTTATTAACGTTAATGAATTATATGTATTCATAAAATCAAGATCTAATCATAAAAAAGACAAGTACATTGATATTGTAATTATTATTATTATTATTATTATTTTAATTTTCATAATGATAAAATTTTAAATATTTTATTTAGTTTAAGAAGATGAAAATTGAACAAATGAATTTTGATAATTTCAAAGTTTTTATTGATTGTCATTCTGGTTATGTTGAAAATATTTTTAATCAAAAAGATATTCATCAAATTACAATTTCTAAAAGAACAGCTACTACTAAAAAATTTACATAAATAAACTTCATCCTCGTAACCTGACAAAACTATCCATATTTTATTTTCTTTTATTTATTTAATTTTTAAATTAACAATAAAATTTTGATACAGTATCAAAGTTGCAAGCTTGTGGACCCAAAAATTTCTAAATATTCTAGAATACATGTAATTATTACAATCCACAATGTTTGGGCAACTTTCAAAAATTATTTCAAAAATATCTTCCACAACGTGGACCTAGGGTTTATAACTTAAATTGCAAAGTGCAATAACAGGTGTAATAGTGTTATAAATTTCCAGTTGTTTAAGAGAAATTTGTTCTACTAAAATGATTTGATTGTCTTCACTTTCAAAGAAACTACCACAAATAGTTAACTTTGAAAGTTAGTTACAAAAACTTGAATTGTTTTTTTTACAAAATTTTGATATAGAAGGTGAAGTTTTTTCCCTTTTGATATTTGTAAAAAAAAGCCGTACGGATGGGTCTGTTTAAAAGTTTCATGTTATGAAGACCAGGATATTAAATTTTTTAAAAGCTTTACATTATGAAGACCAAGATATTAAATTTAATTGACCAATAGAAATTTTATTTTATTTTTGACCAATATGGTAATTTACATTGTTTTGATTATTTTGATTCTGAAATTCAATCTCTTGAAAAGTACTGCATGCACGCATGTGATTTAGTTAATTATTGGATGCCCTCTAGTGCTGGATATTAAATTTTATTAAAGTGCGTTTGATGTATAATTGAACTAGTGACTTGTAGTATCAGCCAGTAGTTTTCCACCTGCATAAAGCAGGCCAGCTGGTTTTGTAGATAAAATTAGCAATGTATAGCATTAGCCGGTGGTTTCCACCTGCATAGCACAGGCCGGCTGTAAAATGAAGGATTTGTAAAAATGTCAGGATTCTACTGGTCTTTTAAATAAATCTGAATTCTGCCTTTTTATTTTTTTTTGCTGCCTGTTTGATTATTGCTTGTTATTTTTTCGGTCTTTATTTATTTTATTGTTATAATGCAAGCCTTGAAGGACTTGATCAACTCAACTGGGTGTACTGACAAAATACGATATGCATCCTTGATGTCGATTTTTAATAACATACATTCCCTACTGTATTGAGCAATCCAAGTGATTTATGTTCTCATATTTTGTAGCAAAATCTGTACTGTCGATACTGTCTTCCAGTAGGTGCTAACAGATGTGATATAACTCTATATACTTTAGGGTTGGTCCCTTTCTTTTCTACTAATCCGCAGGGATTTATCTGAAATGCTGAACATAGGGATTTTCTAAAGTGAATGGACCATACATACATCTTGCAGCTAACTCATCTTCTATATCGATATACCTTGTTAGTGTGGTAATCAAGCAGACAATTAAAAGAGGGCATCGCTGAAGTACCGAATGACAGCCCTGCAAATCAAAGCAAATTTGCACATAACAAGAGAGGGTAAAAGAAATACAATTAACCAATGATTTGTATAGTTGAAACAGATGAATCTACAGGGCTCGACCAATGATGACAACCAAATTGAGAGAGAACCAGGAATTCTACAAGGTAATTTTCCCCCTCCCAACTATTAACGATACTCTATACTATTCTTTAAATATTGGATAAATGGTTGGTTCAGGTGTTTTTGAGTCAGATAATCAAATACCAATTTGTTAATAGGAGTTGTAATGTTGAAGTTGGCTGGGTTCAGTTGTGATATTATTTCTAGTTCTTCTGGTGATAGTGGATTGCTTTTTGGAGAAATTGCCTTAATTGTTTGCTCCACAGATTGTAAGTGTGGTTATGAGTATGAAGTAATCGTCCCCTTGATAACTTGAATCGCGATACGTATTTCATTGTTTCAATATGCTTAGTGTAATTATATTAGAAAGATCCTATGAACCAATAAATATGTATAATATGCGTTATGCATTATTATTATTAATATATATTATTTTTATCTTATTTTATTTTATGTTGCTTATTGGTTTTACTCATTATTACGTTGTGCATTTCTGACATATTTATGCCTTGCATTTTTTATGAAACAATCTTTCTCACTATGTCCAGTTTTCTTACATATGATACAGGCATGAACTCTGCCACAGTTTTTGTTCTCTGCATAGGTTTTGAAATTCCAATTGAGGCAAATTTCTTTGCATCTTGCCGGTATGTGTTTATTCAGGTTGGGTGGTGCCAGTCTTTGACTTTTTTGTTGTTGATGCATGCATCAAAGTTTTTATTCTCAGCTTCTATATTTCTATCTACTAATGTTGAATCACGGTTCATTACTAACATACTCTACGATCTTTGTCATAACTCATTACTGCCGCAAATTCGTATTTAACATACACAGTTTATTTATATGATCTCTGTATGTGTTCAATTCCTGCTCTATATTATTAGTACTGTATCCATATATGCTTTGAATGCTAGCAACCACTCTGATATGTTCTCAAATATTGTGTTGCGCTTCCTTTTCCTTATAGCTATTGCGCCATTATCTGACATTTGCAAAATGGTTCCTCATCCATTTCTTTTACATTTTCGACTAGGTTTTTATACATAAATTCTTGGAGATTTACAAAAGAACCGAATGCTATGGCTTTTCATAATTTACTGAACAGACACGGTTTTTGAGGTAGCATCTCTATTATTCTTAGTCCTTCCGTCCAGTTCATAACCCACTATAATCGGATGCGTTCTGTCTCAGCAGCCTTTTGGTTTTGAAAACCTTGGATTATCGGTATTTGCTTTATTACTTCATAATTTATTGTGGAGAACTTTCTGGTTGTCATTTTGTATACCACTGTCTTAACTTCGCACCTTAACTTTCCTTCCAGTTTTCTAGATCTGCTTTATTTATCATGTCATTAATAGTTGGGAGGAGGAAAATTACCTTGTAGAATTCCTGGTTCTCTCTTAATTTTGTTGTCGTCATCGGTCGGTTCATCTGTTCTAACTGTACAAATCGTTGGTTAATTGTATTTCTTTTACCCATCTCTTGTTATGTGCAAATTTGCTTTGATTTGTGAGGCTGTCATTCGGTGCTTCAGTGATGCCCCCTTTTAATTGTCTGCTTGATTATCTGTAACCAATTTTGGTTATATTAGTATTCGCACAATTGACCTTAATCAGCATTTCATTAAAATTTACTTATCTCGCATGTACTGGATTTTCCTGTTAGCATCAGGTTGCTCATGTGCGGTACATCACTGCTTGGACCGCCTTTTTGATCTGTTGACCTTGCTGTCAACTCAAATAACCAAGGTGGAAATTTCTGTTGTTTTGATTATGCCCAAATATAGGTCATATTTTGATTGTCTACATAAATAATAACTCGTATGTTGATTAAACATCTAACTATCAAGATTTTTTGTAAAACTCAATCCTAGAATAATATATCGACTAAAGTATTATAGCTAGTTAAATTTTTAAGATTTTTGCTTTTAATTTTTTCTGGCTTTTTGAATTCATCAAATTGAATGCTCTTAGAAACCACCTGTGCATTAAATGGAATAACAATCTTCAAAAGCACAGATGAGCTTTTAGAATTAATATTACTAAAAAATGTATATAAATCATCTAAATTTACTTCATCCTTATAACCTGGTTGCAAAACCATCCATATTTTAATCTCTTTTATGTACTTTGGTAATAATTTTGCTAGTTTTTCTAAGTAATCATCTAATTTTGTACTTATTAGATTAACAGCAAAGTGATTTTAATACAGTATCAAATATTGCAAGCTTGGAATCCAAGAAATTTCTAAATAATCTAGAATACATGTAATTAATCCAATTGATAAATTTACAATATATCAGCAACTTTCAAAAATTATTTCAAAAATTATTTCAATTTTATCTCCACAACGTGGACCTATAATTTTAAAGGTTTCTAAACTTGAATTGCAGAGAAAAAGCAGCACAATAATAGGTGCTATAGAATTATAAATTACAAGCTGTTTAAGAGGAATTTTATCTACCAAATTAAATTTATCACCTTTACTTTCGAAGAAACAATTACAAATAGTTACTTTTGCAAGTGATTAATACTTTTTAATATAGCTAATCAAAGTAATTTGTTTAAGTTTGACAGAATTAAATTCTATAGATGAAAGAGTATGTGACTGAGATTATAGAATATTTAAAAAATGTTTATTAAAAGTGTTTGTAAGCGTAAGGTGTTTTAACTCATTTTGGATTTCAACTAATTCTACAAGAGAATTACCTAAATTTGATAAATAGTAAAGTATAAATTAACAAATTTAAAGTATTGAATTTTTGTAGATTTATTTATCAATAATTGAATAAGAAATTTAGAAATTATTTCAATGTAAATTTTTCTCATACAATTTTGAGAACTTTTACAGAATTTTTGTTAAAAATTGATCACAGCATCCATGAAATTATTTATATTAATAGATTGTAAAAATGAGGCGTATGGTAATAATAATTTAAATTCAAATCTTGAAATATTAAAAGATTTTTTGATAACTTTTTTTTTCATTAAGAGATATTTCTTGTATGTAAGATCCAATAGCAAGGTGTATCTTTGCTTT